GCAGACCACTCTTGTATACATGCAGGCTCAGACCTCTCTTGTTAGTGCAAAAACTTTTATTACGAACTGTGTTTAAATGTTTTTCATATTGTTCCCATCACATTATGCAGTATATCACGTTCATGTTCACAGAAAATGAACTTGGCAAATCCCCCCGTAATGACTGTAAATCTGCTAATTAAGAAAAGTAGTGTTTTTTGTTCCAGTGGCTTCACAGTGATGGACGAGCAAGCCCGAGGGAGGAGGCTCCATCTACGCTGGTGTTAAAATCCACTTTCATATCTCATTTGGAACAAGATGAGGATAAATGATGATCGGTCGAGTATATTGCTGTGTGGACGACTTTATGCCCTAAAAGAGTTTGTGAAGAAAATTCTGCAGGAAGTTTAGTGAGGAGTCAAATGAGAGAATGGCTCAGACTGGCCTGGTTCTGTCAACGGCAAATGTATAGTCATTGTACTGGCATTTGTATCAGTCCAATATTTTACTTTTTCTCAAGTGCAGTGTGAAATTTCATGGACAAAAATATTTTGGTCATTCAGCTTTTGTTAGGGTCATAGTACAAAAACTTGAACTAAAACTAATCGAGGAATATATTCATAATTATGTTTAATGTCCAATTATTGTCATTAAAGTTATCAACTGTTGTAGTTTGATTAATCTGATGGCTATTGTTGTGAAAAAGAGCCACAGACTGGCGGCAAGCTCAGAATTGGGGTATATGTACTTTTATTTTTTCAATAATAATACATTCTTTCAAATGTCACTATTTCACAGTGACATTTGTTTACTGTTTTATTTGTTTTATTTTTGTCTTTTAATGTTGTTTTATGTCTGTATTTGTGTGTGCACACTGGTGACTTTTGCTAATGTATTCCAATGTGGTGATTTTACTGCAAATGGCAAATAAACTGAATCTGAATCTGATCTTTATATTCTATTTTATTAGAAAATGATAGATTTTTTTGCCTTGTCAGAAGGTGCGATAGAGTCAATGTTTGATGTTGTGGGCTGATTCGCTGGATGCAGTCTCTCTCTGAGTCCAGCATATGGTCCATAGACTGTGAATATTAGTATGGTCCCGCTCAGTGTGCGAAATACGTACCTGTCAATATTCAAGGGGGCCCCTAAATGTTTTAAAAAAAAAAATCGCTATATAAAACCAGTGCATTATTATTATTGTTATTATTGAATGGAACACTGGCCTTTTGAAGAGCGGTTTGACATCCCATTTTTTGTGGATTGAAAATTAGATACTATAGATTTAAGGCATTACATGCATGCATTTTGTTGTCAAAGTCTCTTTCTTACCACAGATATAGTATATGTTGAAGTTTTGAGTGGTTCTAAAATACACATACTGATTTTAAAGTGAAATCCAGTTTTGTTGACTATTTAACAAGAACAAGGCAACAAACTTTTTAGAGAAAAAAAAAAGAAAAATGTATCATTGGTTAATTAACTACATTGACAAATGTCTATTCTTTATCAACAAATAAGTGTTCAATCATTAAGGGTACAGTAGCTCAGTTAGAGCATTGGCCTTTGAGCCAGATGGTCGTGGGTTCGAGCCCACGTGTGAATGGTTGGTGGTGGTCGGAGGGGCCGATGGCACATACTGGTTGCCTCGCTTCTGTCAGTGTGCCCCAGGGCAGCTGTGGCTACAGTAGTAGTTTATCACCACCGTGTACGGAGTGAAAGAATAATGACATGTGAAGCGTCTTTGAGTGTCCAAAAAATGCTATATAAAACCGATGCATTATTTATATTTGCAAATGATTTACACATAATTTCCTAATTATTTTTAGTTCATTAAACATTTTTAACTATTCATACAGTAGCAGAAGAAAACTAGTGATACAACCAAACTTTTAGAGCCAGAAACTAGTGACTTACATAATTGAAATGTATCCAAACAGCCAATGATTTATAAAGGAAAATCATAAAAATGTAAAGGGGTCCCCAAACTTTTTTGTACCACTGTAAGAGCAGTGATCAATGACTGCTGTCTCTGTGTGTACAGTAAATGTGTTCATCAATCAATCATTCCATCCCCTTTATTTATCTGTTTCTGGGTCAAGGGGTGGAAATCACTGCTTCCTCAACCAGACACCTCACTGATTGTCCTGCTGCTCTGTCAGCGACGACTTCAGCTGGGACTTCAGGCAAAGTGGGTTGTTTTGCCCAAGGACACAATGACAGCAGATGTCAATGGGAGCAGCTGGATGCCTCTGTTGGTTGTTCGATTCCCTTCCAGGGGCACAATGACACAAACATAATACCCTTAATGCTACGGCCTTCCTCATACCATGTCATATATTATACAAACGGCTTCTTCTCTGCCCTCTGTAATGATTTTTTACATCCGGACAGATGCATGGCATATGCCATCATTGTAGTCTATTTTCTGGCATCTGACTGATTTTGTGATGTTTGGTATCATTTGGTTTGCCATCTATAGTTTTGGCTATACCTGTTCACTGCTGTGTCCTACAAATAAGAAAATACATTGAAGTGGGAGGATGAACGGCCGGAAAAGTCCATGTGATTAGTTACCTGTCTTTGATGTGATCACATCCTCCTCCACTCCAGCTCTCCACTGCCTCACTCTGCCCTGGTCAGTTCTGTCTGTTCCACTGATCTTGGATTTGGCATTTCTTATCACATCTGGTCTTCTATCTGGTTTTTGGGGGCATTTGGTCTGATATCTGACATATTACTGGCATCTGGGGTAGTATCATTTCAAACCCCAGGCCTTGCATCTGGTCTTTTGTGATGCATCTGGTTATTTGTCTGGTATTTATGGATTCTGTCCTGGTGTCTGGCATCTGTAATGACATGTGTCATGCATGTGCTCTTTTTTCTGGCATCCATCAGATATGTTGCATCTGATATGACATGTTATAATGACATCTGGTCTGGCATCTTTCATTTTTTTGTATCACCTGGTTAGGCCTTTTTCTGGGACCTTGTCTGGTAACTGCTGTGCTCTATAGATTAGACAACAATGTAAGGTGTGGGGAGGAACAGATGGAGAAGTCCTTATGATGATTTACCTCTATTTGATATGAACACATCCTCCTACTGTACTTCATCTCTCTCTTTTCTTACAAGGCTCTGGTCACATCTGTCCGTCTCACAGTTACTTTGTGGCATCTTGTCTGGAAATGTCCATTACGTTTTACATCAGGTTTCTCCTCTGGCATATTTATGGCTTTCTCTGACGTCTGCTGTATTTTTTGATGTCCAGACTGGCCTATGTTGTGGCATACGTTAACTACTGTATGTGGTGTCTTTTTCTGGCATCTGTCAGATGTGTGGCATCCAGTGACTATCTGTCCTGAATGAGACAACAATGCATTGAAGTGACGGATGAAATATTCATAGATTTACCTGTATTTGAAGGAAAGAGCCCTTCACCTCTACTCCGTCTCTCCCCTGTCTCATACAGTACTTCTTTGATCACGGCCTGTCTTTCTTGCAGATGGTTCTTGGTATTTGTCATTCCTTGTAAAATCTGCAATTTTGGAACACTTAAACACAAGTTCATATGCTGATTTACCTTTTGATACGAACACATGGGTTGAACCCTCCTCCTACACTTCATCTCTCCACTTCCTTATGTTGCTCTGGTCATTTCTGTCAGTCTGGCAGCTGCTCTGTGGCATCTGGGCTGGCATTTTTCTTTTCTTGTAACATTTGGCATATTTATGGCTTCTGGCTGGCATTTGTCAGATGAGTTACTTCTGATCTGTATGTTTCTTTTTGTTTTTGTGACTCCTGGTCAATGCTGTCTGTCCGGAATAAGACAACAATGGGAGGAAGTGGGAGGAAGGACACTTGAAAAGTTCATATGATGATTTACCTGTATTTGATGTGAACACATGGTATTACCCTCCTCCTCCACTCTGTCCCTCCACTGTCTGCACTCATATGTTCCACAACACTGGAAAATATCAAACACATGACTTGTGAATTTACTGCACTTCATCGCTTGTACAGAGACCAATGTATGCCATACCTGCACTGTATTCAGGGTTTGCTACAAGTTCAATGTTTCACTATTTCTTCTTTTCAAAGCAGTCTTGAAAAGTAATGTGATAATAATCTTACTATGCTCACATGTTTTGTCCATGTTCCTCTTTTAGGCCCAAACAGAGAACATGGTTGGAAGAAACATGAGAATCAAACCTATATATACTATTCACACATATTTTTAGGTCAATTGGACGTGCTGGGATACAGGCTCATTTTATGGCATTGGCAGCTCAACTCTAACCCTGTTGCACCTGATTTGGCACCTTCTAATAACTGGCAGCATTTTAACTTCTGCTCTGGCATTTGTGGCATATGATATTTTCTGTCTGGTCACTGCTATGTCCTATAAATAAGGCGATATTACATTAAAGTGGGGCGAACTTCAAGGAACGAATGGAATGTGGATACAAGGATTTACCTGTATTTAGTTTGAACACTCGTCTCTCTCCTCTTTCTGAACTCATCTGTTTCAAAACACTGGCCAAAATTACAGACACATTCATTGAACTTTATCACATGTTCAGACATACTCCCTCCTTTTTATCTAAAATAGAGGAAGTCTCATAAAATAATGCGACAATAACTATTTAACCTGTACTCACCAGTGTCTTTGTTCCTATTTTCAATACAATGAGCAAACCTGTGAATCAAAGCTAAACCAACAATAACAAATTCAAACAGCTAAAAATAACCTTATGGGGATCAAACAAGGATCCAGAAAAAGCACAACACATAAATAATAACTGTAAAAAACAGGGATCAAACAAGGATCCAACAATAAACATTAGTAACGAACCAATAATGTTTTGTTTTTTTTATCCGTTTTTTTCAAAGGGATCAAACAAGGATCCAACTATACACATATTTACAGTGTGATACGTCACCATCACCAGGACTTGGTCTTCTGAATCCCAGCTTCTCTCTGCTCCTTCAAATAAACAAAGCAGAGAGTGCATCAGTTCTTAACAGTGGGAGGAGGAAGACTTGTGTTTTTTGGGCTGAGGTCTTGTGCCCGGCTCACATGACCTTTTACGCTTATGTTTCTGGGCCTTCTTTGACACCACCTTGTCCGAGAAAGGTCCAGGGATGGTGGGGGCAGACTCCGACTGCAGGACGACAGGTACAGGGTTAGCATTGGTGAGCTGAGGAGGCTCAGCAGGAGGAGCAGGCTTTGAGGGAAGAGTGCGAAGGGGAAATTTCCGAACGCATAGAGTAGCGAACCAAGAATCTGTAAGAAAGGTGAGCTGAAGATACCCGGCAGGAGGAGGGGCAGAGGAAGCAGAAGGAGGAGCAACAGAGCGAGCAGAAAGAGCAGAGGAGCGCTTAGGAGAAGCAGAGCGAGGAGGAGGGGCAGAGGTGCGCTGAGGAGGAGTAGAGTAAGCAGAAGGAGGAGGACGAGAGAGGATCCTGCCAGGGTGAACAGAGCGGAGCCAAGAGACAAGAACCAAGCGAGGAACAGCAGGAGCAGAGTAAGGTTTAGGGCGTTTAGGAGCAGAGCGAGACTTAGACTTAGATTTAGCTTTAGACTTAGGAGGAGGAGGAGGAGGAGGAGGAACAGAAGGGCGAGGGGAAAGAGTAGAAGAAGAGTAGTGAGAGGTCCTCCCGGACAGAGAGAAGCTAGCAGAGGAGCCAGGCATAGTGGGAGAGTTTTAGGACTTAGCTGAAGAGCAGTCCTGTGCCTGAGGTCTAGAGGTCTGGAGGTCTGTCTGGAGTTCTGATTGAGAAGAAGGAGTACAAGGGTCTGTGGAGGAGGATCAGAACATGTCAAACATCACTGCAAACAGTACACAAAATAGAGAGCACCACTAATAGTCATTGTTGTCTGAGAAAATAATTTACTTCTGCGTTAAAGCTGGGATACCTAACTTTATAGAGGGGTTCCTTGCGAATGCAGGAGGATACTGTATATGGGCAGTGATGATCCAGGCCTTTTAGGTAAATTCATGGCATTGGCTCTCATGGACCAATGGCTTCTATGTTTTTGTTACGATTGTTTTCAAACTTTTTTCAAACTGTTTCTCTGATCTGTTGATGTGGAAAGCCAGGCCACTTTACCGGAGTGTTCAGGTGCTGCTTGTAATGAATATGTATAAAATAAATAGAGTAAATATTTTATTCTACTGATTGGGAATCCTGATCTTATTACTGACATTCATTCATTCATCACTGACAGTAATACATATAATGTCATTTAAAATAAATATATATTTTATTCTTTTATATCCATTGATATTTGAGACCCCCCCAAAAAAATTCTTTTGATGCTTTCAAGGGGTCTGAATCGGAAGGGTTCAACCAGGGGGGGTGCTATTTTGTGTGAGCATTATGTCAGCTATGAGGCTATGTCACCAGAGAGGCGGGCTCATAGGCAAAGGAGCAGAAATCCAGCCGTTTCAATTTAAGTGACGTCACTTCTTTGCAAGAAAGGCTATATTTTGAGTGTTGTATGGTGTATCGCCCAAATTATTATCACACATGGGCTTAGTTTGGACTGTGACAAATTAAAAAGGGTGAGATATGGGACCAAGTACCTCAGATTTAAGTGCAGGCAAGCCTTTTCAGAAAGCTAGTTCAGTGTCTTTAATTTGTCTATGTTATATCTCACCATCGGGGCAGCTCCTCCTCAAACAAAAAAGGCTACCAGTCCTGTTCAATAAAGTAAGAAAGTGGTCATCTCACTGCTGTTGTAGCCTAGTGGCTGTCTCATGTTTAAATCGTTAGATGATCATACCAAGGCGCTGTATTGATGCACATTTTGGCCGTGGGTCGTGCATTGATTGGGCTTGATTATCACCAGGGTCACTTATCGACAGCTTTCCACTCAGGTCGATGTGTGCCCTTCACATGGTCACTCGTGCGGACCTGCCCCACCTCTTAGAACTCTGCTTCCGAGACTGAAGCTCAGGGCTATGACATGAACAAGCCTGTTTTCAAGCGATAATCATGTAGATCATTATAACCAGTATTTTTAAGGGCACTCTCAAGTTTCAGTCAAATGTTTATTCTTTCAGATTAAGGGGTAAAAAGTTTTGTTAAAAGAAAAAAATATGATATTTGAAAAGGAGTTGGCAAAGGAGTTCATGAAAATCCTGTATGAACTCATGTACCATTATTATATAGTGTTACCCATTTTTTTTCCAAAAAATCTTTTATTTTGTGTCTGATACGACATTGTATATGTACATTCACTTGATCAAAGGTTTGCAACAGTCAGAACTAACATAGATGTTAGATCACTTTTAACTATAATTAACGCTAATTACCATAAATAGTCACATTTTCAAGGCACATTAAACATGCCAATGATGATCTTGTTGTCATTACTTCAATGTTTATCATTGTTATATATATACTGTATATAATCCATACATAGTGCAGTGCTCAACTTCCATCCATCCATCCATCCATTTTCTTCCGCTTTATCCGTTGCCGGGTCGCGGGGGCAGCAGTCTAAGCAGAGACGCCCAGACTTCCCTATCCACACACACTTCCTCCAGCTCGTCCGGGGGGACCCCAAGGCGTTCCCAGGCCAGCTGAGAGACATAGTCCCTCCAGCGTGTCCTGGGTCTTCCCCGGGGCCTCCTCCCGGTGGGACGTGCCCGGAACACCTCCCCAGGAAGGCGTCCAGGAGGCATCCTGAACAGATGCCCGAGCCACCTCAACTGGTTCCTCTCGACGTGGAGAAGCAGCGGCTCTACTCCGAGCTCCTCCCGTGTGACTGAGCTCCTCACCCTATCTCTAAGGGAGCGCCCAGCCACTCTGCGGAGGAAGCTCATTTCGACCGCTTGTATCCGCAATCTCGTTCTTTCGGTCACTACCCAAAGCTCATGACCATAGGTGAGGGAGGGAACAAAGATTGACCGGTAAATCGAGAGCTTTGCCTTTCGGCTCAGCTCCCTCTTTACCACAACGGTTCAATACAGAGACCGCATCACTGCGCACGCTGCACCGATCCGCCTGTCAATCTCACGCTCCATTCTTCCCTCACTCGTGAACAAGACCCCGAGATACTTGAACTCCTCCACTTGAGGAAGGACCTCTCCACCCACCTGGAGAGGGCAAGGCACCTTTTTCCGGTCGAGCACCATGGCCTCGGATTTGGAGATGCTGATTCTCATCCCAGCCGCTTCACACTCGGCTGCAAACCGTCCCAGTGCATGCTGCAGGTCCTGGTTCGTGCTCAACTTAGCGTATATGAGTAACATCTCCCTTATCATTTAGTTCTACCCAAATGAAGCCAGTAGAGGCTTAAAATATACAGTAGACAGTTAATTTGCAACTACAATGGGGAAAATACTGTACATACAGTATTGTGCAGCATTCATGCAGCTTTGTTTGTGTTCTACGTTGCCATGTGTTAAAAGACTATGTATAGCCTGGCCTGATTTTGCACTTTAAATATCTATGGTTTAACACAATCTATTATCCTGGTGATATTGTCTTTGTAAATCCAGATATGAGCCCTAACAAATGACCAAACAAGTGTTTTCTGTCCCCAGATTCGGCTTTAGCTCGCCCTTGCCACTAACAACAATTGCATACATTTTGCTCCACATTTACGCTTGAACAGATTTTTCGAGCCAGCTCTAATTAAGTTCTAAAAGGCGAACATTATGTGTGACAGTAGTCCACTCCTTTTAAGTAAAAAATATATGACAGATATTAACAATGACTTCAATATATTTGTTGATGAAATGAACACCAGCTGCATCTGGCACCAAGAGTAAGATTCCTCTCATGCCCCTAATGTATCTTCAGAGTGACTTTACGCCGGCTGAGTAATCTCACACAGCCATTTTGCACCATGACATGAAAATGGAAGCAGCTAATGGCTATCGCGCTGCCCATCTCCAATTAGTTAAAGAGGGGAGCGGCTTAATTACTTCTCTAATGTACTTCTCCTCTGGGCTGGCCCATATTTCTCGTAGCTTTGGGAGCGGCGGTTTGGTCCACAACTGATAATGCGTTCAGATGTAAAGGCACAACCAGGGACAGTTTAGTCTTTTAATTATTAGAATGTAGTGTACTGAGGTGTTTCATGCATGTGTTATTAAAAGCATTCTGGGAGGAAATGTTGCTGTGTTGCTTATTCATTGTTGAGTAAATGAGTAAATGGTATGCATGATACATTTGTGAAGTTGGATTGTAATTGTGAATGTTTCCGTTGAACCTGGACATACGAGACAGCAGGTGATGAACTCAAATGGTGGTGCTTTCTTTCAGAGGCAACACGATTGAAGATCAGCAATTGTGGTGCTTATTATGTTATAGTTATTGTTCACCAAAGAAAGAAAATAAATACAAATATCTCATTCAAAGGGTTTCTTAAAAACACTTCATATAAAACCAGTCAGGCTCCCATAGCTCTCCTTTTGTTTGACCATGACACAGTCTGACATTGTCCCATCGGAATGACTGGAGTAGAATATAAAAGTCAATTGCCTTATACTTATACCAGTTATGATTTAACACCATGGTGGCAACACTGTAATTGTCCCATTGAAATACACGTTCAGCGGGATGGCAGGAAGCTTGAGTCGTGTAGAATGTATGAATTTGGCTTGAATTCCAGAAATCATAGCAGCATAAGTTAAAAATGGTCTATAGAATCATCTTCTTGGCCCACCTCTGATCCTCTGAAGCCGATTAAATGAGTGCATACAGGGATCAATGCATCACATACAAGTGATAAGTGCAGGTGAGCTCTCTCTCTCTCTTCATGACTTTGTAATGGCTGCCAAGATGGCCGCCCCGAGTGACCCACCTCGGCGACATCACATCGTCAACAATTTCAATCTCCGTTCAGTAGTGACACACAGGTCCTTCAGCGCCTCTCCAGCCGTGTTTACAGCCCAAGGACAGCAGCCCTCCTGTGTGGAAGAGCGTGCACGTGTGGAAATACACACACACATGCATTCTCAAGGTTAGAAATCAGGCCAGGTGGCGGTTCAGCAAAGATTAAGAGACTTCCTAAAAAAAATACACCAATGATTTATGGCATCCAGCCGGCGGACATTTGGTGTGCTCAAGGAGGGCAGAGGAGGGGGGTTGGGGTGACCAGAATTGTGTGATTATTAGTATCATCATGTCTGAATAGTCTGAATTTTTAAATAATGGAGTAAAAGTAGTTAACACTTTTGATGTCAAATTAGCTACATGAGCTGTGATCTATACTGCAAATTGTTACCTCTTTTTGATTTTATTCATTTCAAATACACACTTTGTTGTATTTTGGCAAAAAATTTGTTTCCAAACCCACGACTGAAGCTGCTGTAAGGCATGGCCAAGATTGAACTTATCTTAGGTTCTGTATATCAGTCTAAATCTTGCAATGGGGCGGACCCTTAAAGAAGAGAGGAGTGTGTCATCCACATTTGTATTCACATTCACTATTAATCCAGTTTGAAGCATTTTCTCTGTCTCCACATGTGTCTTTCACAGTTTTTACTCTCTGCGCGCACCACGGCAGATGCAGCAGTAAAAGACTTCACTTCCTGTCATCGTACATCGCTCTTTTCTGTGCTTTAAAACATTCTTCCTGTATAGCAGCTGTAAGGTTACCATTTCAAGATGCATAGATTACAGATTATGTTAATATGTCCTTGGCTCAACCCACAAAAATGACTACATCCTTGCT